CAAGGGAGGGAAAATAAACTCCACCTCTGGGTGGGAGGAGCTGTATAGGTATATTGGAAAGATGGAGGTGCAGAATGTGGTCATTTCTGAACTGACCACGTCCCTCCACATGGTTAGCTGTGTGCTGGCCTACCTGCCCCTACCCCCCAACATTGCACACCCGGGGCAGGGAGGAACCCCTCTGATCCATGCAGCCATGGGGCCCAGGATAGAGCCCTTGAGGCCAACTGGGAACTGAAGGAGTGAGCTGAGGCAGCACCCAAGGGAGACAGCTGGTTGGGAAGGCCAGAAAAGGAAGAACAGATGTGACGGCCAGAGTGGGGACCTGTGCTGAGGACCTGGGGCCCACAGTCTGAGGTCTGAGACTCACATCTAAAGTGGATAAAGGTCTTCCAGATGCTGGGTATAGATCATCTGCATGGCAGGCAGGTGGCAGATGCCAGGTCAGTGTGCACAGAACAGCTGGCACCTGACAGAGAGCTGGCACACAGCGGGCCTCTGGAAGTGGTCTGCACTGGCCTGCCTCTCAGGAGCCCTACCAGGGAACTAGAGGTGAAAAAGGGGTTCTATGGGGGGGTACCCTCACAGAGTGCCCGACCATATATTCCTCACTGGGCAGGTCATGGTAGGGAGTCAAGCCTCAGGCATAGAGCTTTTTATGAGGTTCATTTTTGCCATAAGCAAGCCCTGCCTGTTCTTTCTGTGTATAGGGCCCTGACCCACAGGCAGATCAGCTGGCAGTCAGTCTCCTGGCTCCAAGGGAATGCTGCTTATCAGCCAGTCAAGGTCTCCTGGCTTCTAGGGACACTCTGTACCTGGGAGCAGGCCTGCAGGGCCTGCCAGATGATTTCTCCCACAGAAAGCTCTTTGTTTAGCTGTAGCTACATAATCTACATAATCTTGCTTCTTCACGGCCTGGGTGCAGCTCACTACCCCTCCAGCCACCACGGGAGACTCTCCGCGTTAGTAAGTCTCAATAAACCTATGTCTCACACTCAGCCAGCTGGTGTGTTCTTTGGGCTTCCAGCTTTTCGGGCACAGATCTTGGAACAACTCAAACTTAGTCCAAACACTGTGCAACCACGTTAACAAACCTGTGAAATAAGCACCCTCAAAAGAGCAAATGATCTTGTTCACTGTCATGTAGTCCAATCCCCCCTTTGCTTCCTCCCACCTCCATGTAATCTTCCTTACATTCCCTCCTTAATTCAAAAGGCAAAAAAGCTGCAAAACTGTCATTTCCCGGAGCAGTTGTGATCTTGCTCCCTGGCACGTGTTGTCAGTTTGGCTCAGATAAACTCTAGTAAGAATTCTCTACAGGTTTGGACGTTTCTTATGTAGACAGGCGGGAGGCCGAGTCATCATCCTTGCAGGCTCTGGTCAGTCCCTCCCAGGGGCTAGGACCCTGGGTCGTGGACCAACAGGGACTGAGCTCTCCATTTACCCAGAGGGCCCCAGGGGCCACTAGGCCAGGGAGACACAGCCTTGCTGAACTTCTAGAGTCATGATACAGCCAGACCCTGAGTCTGGGTAGAGAGGGGAGGGGCCCATAATGCCTGAGGATAAAGAGCTTGGTAGCTGAGGGTCAATGGCTCAGTGACCTCAGAGCCAAGCTGTCCTGTGGAGATAGAAAAAAAATTACAGGCAGTCAGGGAAATGGCTGTGGTAGAGGGAATTTGGGCGGAAGCCATAACAGAGCCAGGAGAAATAATTTTAATAGCTGACGATAGGCTTAAGTCACAGGTCACAGTAACAAACTCAGGTGGGGAAGGAGAAAAGTTTCTTTCAAGCCTATAACAAAAAAGTCAGAAGTTAGGGTTCCATCTTCAAAAGGGGGTTAAGACAGGTTAGTTAGCATAACACAAGGCAGTCAGGAATCCCCAGGTAGAATGCATATCTTCAAAGCATAGGCTTTAAGCTAACACACCCCAGTCAGAGCAGAAACACCAATTCTGACAGCTGGGTTAGTCCTAAGATAACGCACCCCAGTCCAATTATGTTCTGGGACAAATGAGCTATTACAAAAGCCCCCTCCAGGCTGAACAAAACAAATCTGATAACAGTACCAATAGGCACCAGCCAGCTCTTCTCCCCAAATAGACAAGAGAAACTATAAAAGCAAAAGTCTTTGCTTTAGCTAGTGGACATCACAGTTTCGGGTACCCCCTTTCACTTTGAGAGTGTAACTCTTTCTGCTTTAGTAAACTGTCCTTTGCTGCGAACCTTACCTCTCTGGTTCTTGCCTGCATTCTTCCGTTCCATGAGACCACGATCCCAGTGCACACACACAATCAGAAATATCACAATCCTACTGGGTTGTCGGAAAAGTCACGATGTATTTTGTCTATGTGTTTCAAAGGTCATTTATTTATATAAAGAACAAAGGTCAATCAGTGATATAGTGCCTGTTTTGTTCGATAACCTTTTGCAATCTTTCAGTGAGCTTCATAATTCGTCGTCATACAAGGACCTGTCTTCGTTGGCGAAAAACTGAACAAGGTGCTGAATTACAGCCTCATCTGAATTGAACGGTATACCATGCAGAGTTTTGAAGCGAGCGAGACAAGTGGAAGTCTGACGGCGCAAGGTCAGGCGTGTGTGGTGGGTGTGGCAACACATCCCATCCAAGCTCCAATAATTTCTGACGGGTGATCAAACTTGTGTGTGGTCTCACAGTGTCACAATGGAACACAACTCCTTTACAATTAACAAGCTCTGGACGTTTCTGGATGATGGATTCATTCAAACTGTCTAATTGCCAAATGGTACACATTCGAATTGATTGGTTCTTTGGCAGGAGCTCGAAAAACACGACACCTTTAAAATCCCACCACACTGAGAGCATAACCTTCCTCTGATGTATGTCTGCTTTCCATGTCGTTTGAGGTGAATCATCACGTCGGGACCAAAATCCTTTGCACACCACATTGCTGTAAACAATCCACTTCTCATCACCAGTTATCAGTTGCTTCAAAAAAAGATCGTTTTCCTCACAGTTAATGAGCATACTGCAGATGTTTATAGGCGCCATCAAATGAACTTCTTTGAGTTCACACGGAGCCCAAATATCAAGCTTGCTTACCCAGCTTCTTCAAGTGGTCGTGAACGCTGAAATGATGGATTTTCAATGTTTCTGCAATCTCTCATGTCATGTAATGCGGGTTTGGTTCAATTGATGCCTTTATTTTGATGTCATCAACCTCGGTGGGCCTCCCTGACCGAGGAGTGTCATTGAGATCAAAATCACCAGCATGGAATTTCGTGAACCATTGTTGGCACTGACATTCTTGTAGAGCATTGTCACNTCTGGCATCCCAAGCCAGTTCTTAACCATCGCGCCGCTCTGCAGGCCCATAGAGCTTTTTATAAGAGGTTAATTTTGGGGGTAAGTAAGCCCTGCCCGTTCTTTCTGTGTATAGGGCCCTGACCCACAGGCAGATCAGCTGGCAGTCAGTCTCCTGGCTCCAAGGGAATGCTGCTTATCAGCCAGTCAAGGTCTCCTGGCTTCTAGGGATGCTCTGCCTGGGAGCAGGACTTCAGAGCCTGCCAGATGATTTCTCCCACAGAAAGCTCTTTGTTTAGCTGTAGCTACATAATCTACATACTCTTGCTTCTTCACGGCCTGGGTGCAGCTCACTACCCCTCCAGCCACCACGGGAGACTCTCCGCATAATAAGTCTCAAGAAACCTATGTCTCACACTCAGCCAGCTGGTGTGTTCTTCGGGCTTCCAGCTTTTCGGGCACAGATCTTGGAACAACTCAAACTTAATCCAAACACTGTGCAACCACGTTAACAAACCTCTGAAATAAGCACCCTCAAAAGAGCAAATGATCTTGTTCACTGTCCTGTAGTCCAATCCCCCCTTTGCTTCCTCCCACCTCCATGTAATCTTCCTTACATTCCCTCCTTAATTCAAAAGGCAAAAAAGCTGCAAAACTGTCATTTCCCGGAGCATTTGTGATCTTGCTCCCTGGCACGTGTTGTCAGTTTGGTTCAAATAAACTCTAATAAGAATTCTCTACAGGTTTGGACGTTTCTTACGTAGACAGGCGGGAGGCCGAGTCATCATCCTTGCAGGCTCTGGTCTGTCCCTCCCAGGGGCTAGGACCCTGGGTCGTGGACCAACAGGGACTGAGCTCTCCATTTACCCAGAGTCCCCAGGGGCCACTAGGCCAGGGAGACACAGCCTTGCTGAACTTCTAGAGTCATGATACAGCCAGACCCTGAGTCTGGGTAGAGAGGGGAGGGGCCCATAATGCCTGAGGACAAAGAGCTTGGTAGCTGAGGGTCAATGGCTCAGTGACCTCAGAGCCAAGCTGTCCTGTGGAGATAGAAAAAAAATTACAGGCAGTCAGGGAAATGGCTATGGTAGAGGGAATTAGGGCGGAAGCCATAACAGAGCCAGGAGAAATAATTTTAATAGCTGACAGATAGGCTTAAGTCACAGGTCACAGTAACAAACTCAGGTGGGGAAGGAGAAAAGTTTCTTTCAAGCCTATAACAAAAAAAGCAGAAGTTAGGGTTCCATCTTCAAAAGGGGGTTAAGACAGGTTAGTTAGCATAACATAAGGCAGTCAGGAATCCCCAGGTAGAATGCATATCTTCAAAGCATAGGCTTTAAGCTAACACACCCCAGTCAGAGCAGAAACACCAATTCTGACAGCTGGGTTAGTCCTAAGATATAGCACCCCAGTCCCAATTATGTTCTGGGACAAATGGGCTATTACAAAAGCCTCCTCCAGGCTGAACAAAACAAATCTGATAACAGTACTAATGGGGGCCAGCCAGCTCTTCTCCCCAGATAGACAAGAAAAACTGTAAAAGCAAAAGTCTTTGCTTTAGCTAGTGGACATCCCAGTTTCGGGTACCCCCTTTCACTTTGAGAGCTGTAACTCTTTCTGCTTTAGTAAACTGTCCTTTGCTGCGAACCTTACCTCTCTGGTTCTTGCCTGCATTCTTCCGTTCCACGAGACCACGATCCCAGTGCACACACACAATCAGAAATATCACAATCCTACTGGGTTGTCGGAAAAGTCACGATGTATTTTGTCTATGTGTTTCAAAGGTCATTTGTTTATATAAAGAACAAAGGTCAATCAGTGATATAGTGCCTGTTTTGTTCGATAACCTTTTGCCATCTTTCAGTGAGCTTCATAATTCATTGTCATAGAAGGACCTGTCTTCATTGGCGAAAAACTGAACAAGGTGCTGATTTACGGCCTCATATGAAATGAACGTTATACCATGCAAGGAGATTTGAAGAGAGCAAAACAAGTGGAAGTCTGATGGCACAAGGTCAGGCGAGTGTGGTGGGTGTGGCAACACATCCCATCCAAGCTCCAATTATTTTTGATGTGTGATCAAACTTGTGTGTGGTCTCGCGTTGCCACGATGTAATACAACTCCTTTACAATTAACAAGCTCTGGACGTTTCTGGATGATGGAGTCATTCAAACTGTCTAATTGCCAATGGTACACAATCGAATTGATTGTTGGGTTCCTTGGTAGGAGCTCGAAAAACACGACACCTTTAAAATCCCACCACACTGAGAGCATAACCTTCCTCTGATGAATGTCTNGTTTGTGTCTTCCCAGAATGTCAGACTTTATTAGCATAAAGCCATGGACCCAGTCCTGCTGACTCGGTTTCCCACGGGCACTCACCGAGGCTCAGTTTCCCACGAGAGGGCCACACAGGTTTTGTAAGCAAACGAAGTCTTAGGAGAAAGAAGCAAGACAGAGTCCAGTGTTCAGCAAGCGTCCCTTCGGTGCTGGGGTGCGGAGCATTGGGTATTGGGCAGGGCTGCTGAGATGGTCGGGACACAGGGTTTCAAGCCCTCTGTCTAGGACAAGTGCAGGTGCGGCTGTCAGCTCCTCGGTTGAGGCCTGAGTGACGAGCTGTCAGAGGTGAGGCTTTCTGCTCAAGACTGGGTGCCATGCACCCATCTACAGCCTGATAAAGCCATCCAGATGGTCACACTCCACCCTGGGTCTGGAGTTATCTGGTTAGGGCGTTCGCTGGGTATGCTTTTCACGGGATACTCTGGCATGGCTGTCACTTTGTGACTGACACAGCTATCAGAAGTATTAGAATCCATTTTGGTTCATAATTAATGCTCTATACAGGAGGGATAGAACAAAGCAGGTCCTTGTGGCACTGTTGAGCTGATGAATCAAACCTTGTCTGAAGCCTCCTTACTTCCTACATTTCAATTCTATAAGCCAAAAAAGTCCCTTGAACTCCAAGCCAGTTGTAGTCATTGTAGTCAGGTCTCTATTACTTATAATGATATAATCTTAAATAAAACAGCACCTCCTCCAGGAAGCCTTCCCAGATAGCAACAATTAGAATCAATCTCTACGTGTACCTCTCTGTCCTCCATGCCATTCAGTTTGCTCCTCTCAGTATAGTGCACAAATTGTGTTGTGTTATCAATTAGCTAGTGGTAACAAACAACTGCCAAATTTAGTGACTTCAAAAATATTAACTCATGTTTCAGTGGGTCGGCAATTTAGGCAGGTGGTTCTTGTGGTCTCATGTATCCAGTCAGCTGCAGGCTGGCTTTGCAGATCTTAGCTGGGCTTAACCATGTCTGGGCCTTGTCTGGAATAAATGGGCTGACTGCATTGGGGGGTGGGGGTGGGGGTGTATTGTCTTCCAACAGACTAGCCCAGATGCAAGGGAGGGAAAATAAACTCCACCTCTGGGTGGGAGGAGCTGTATAGGTATATTGGAAAGATGGAGGTGCAGAATGTGGTCATTTCTGAACTGACCACGTCCCTCCACATGGTTAGCTGTGTGCTGGCCTACCTGCCCCTACCCCCCAACATTGCACACCCGGGGCAGGGAGGAACCCCTCTGATCCATGCAGCCATGGGGCCCAGGATAGAGCCCTTGAGGCCAACTGGGAACTGAAGGAGTGAGCTGAGGCAGCACCCAAGGGAGACAGCTGGTTGGGAAGGCCAGAAAAGGAAGAACAGATGTGACGGCCAGAGTGGGGACCTGTGCTGAGGACCTGGGGCCCACAGTCTGAGGTCTGAGACTCACATCTAAAGTGGATAAAGGTCTTCCAGATGCTGGGTATAGATCATCTGCATGGCAGGCAGGTGGCAGATGCCAGGTCAGTGTGCACAGAACAGCTGGCACCTGACAGAGAGCTGGCACACAGCGGGCCTCTGGAAGTGGTCTGCACTGGCCTGCCTCTCAGGAGCCCTACCAGGGAACTAGAGGTGAAAAAGGGGTTCTATGGGGGGGTACCCTCACAGAGTGCCCGACCATATATTCCTCACTGGGCAGGTCATGGTAGGGAGTCAAGCCTCAGGCATAGAGCTTTTTATGAGGTTCATTTTTGCCATAAGCAAGCCCTGCCTGTTGTTTCTGTGTATAGGGCCCTGACCCACAGGCAGATCAGCTGGCAGTCAGTCTCCTGGCTCCAAGGGAATGCTGCTTATCAGCCAGTCAAGGTCTCCTGGCTTCTAGGGACACTCTGTACCTGGGAGCAGGCCTGCAGGGCCTGCCAGATGATTTCTCCCACAGAAAGCTCTTTGTTTAGCTGTAGCTACATAATCTACATAATCTTGCTTCTTCACGGCCTGGGTGCAGCTCACTACCCCTCCAGCCACCACGGGAGACTCTCCGCGTTAGTAAGTCTCAATAAACCTATGTCTCACACTCAGCCAGCTGGTGTGTTCTTTGGGCTTCCAGCTTTTCGGGCACAGATCTTGGAACAACTCAAACTTAGTCCAAACACTGTGCAACCACGTTAACAAACCTGTGAAATAAGCACCCTCAAAAGAGCAAATGATCTTGTTCACTGTCATGTAGTCCAATCCCCCCTTTGCTTCCTCCCACCTCCATGTAATCTTCCTTACATTCCCTCCTTAATTCAAAAGGCAAAAAAGCTGCAAAACTGTCATTTCCCGGAGCAGTTGTGATCTTGCTCCCTGGCACGTGTTGTCAGTTTGGCTCAGATAAACTCTAGTAAGAATTCTCTACAGGTTTGGACGTTTCTTATGTAGACAGGCGGGAGGCCGAGTCATCATCCTTGCAGGCTCTGGTCAGTCCCTCCCAGGGGCTAGGACCCTGGGTCGTGGACCAACAGGGACTGAGCTCTCCATTTACCCAGAGGGCCCCAGGGGCCACTAGGCCAGGGAGACACAGCCTTGCTGAACTTCTAGAGTCATGATACAGCCAGACCCTGAGTCTGGGTAGAGAGGGGAGGGGCCCATAATGCCTGAGGATAAAGAGCTTGGTAGCTGAGGGTCAATGGCTCAGTGACCTCAGAGCCAAGCTGTCCTGTGGAGATAGAAAAAAAATTACAGGCAGTCAGGGAAATGGCTGTGGTAGAGGGAATTTGGGCGGAAGCCATAACAGAGCCAGGAGAAATAATTTTAATAGCTGACGATAGGCTTAAGTCACAGGTCACAGTAACAAACTCAGGTGGGGAAGGAGAAAAGTTTCTTTCAAGCCTATAACAAAAAAGTCAGAAGTTAGGGTTCCATCTTCAAAAGGGGGTTAAGACAGGTTAGTTAGCATAACACAAGGCAGTCAGGAATCCCCAGGTAGAATGCATATCTTCAAAGCATAGGCTTTAAGCTAACACACCCCAGTCAGAGCAGAAACACCAATTCTGACAGCTGGGTTAGTCCTAAGATAACGCACCCCAGTCCAATTATGTTCTGGGACAAATGAGCTATTACAAAAGCCCCCTCCAGGCTGAACAAAACAAATCTGATAACAGTACCAATAGGCACCAGCCAGCTCTTCTNGAGCTCGAAAAACACGACACCTTTAAAATCCCACCACACTGAGAGCATAACCTTCCTCTGATGAATGTCTGCTTTCCATGTCGTTTGAGGCGAATCATCATGTCGGAATCAAGATGGTTTGCGCACATTGTTGTAAACAATCCACTTCTTATCACTAGTTATCAGTCGCTTCAAAAAAAGATCGTTTTCCTCACGTTTAATGAGCATATTGCAGATGTTTATACGCGCCATCAAATGAACTTCTTTGAGTTCACGCAGAGCCCAAATATCAAGCTTGCTTACGTATCTCAGATTCTTCAGGTGGTCATGAACGCTTGAATGATGGATGTTCAATGTTTCTGCAATCTCTCATGTCATGTAATGTGGGTTTGGCTCGATTGATGCCTTTATTTTGACGTCATCAACCTTGGTGGGCCTCCCTGACAGAGGAGTGTCCTTGACATGAAAATCACCAGCACATCGGCCGGCCGAGTGGCTCAGTTGGTTAAGAGCTCGCTCAAGAGTTTGAGGTCTGAGCAACAGCAGTTCGATTCCCAGCATGAGCTGAGCAGCCTCTGCGCTGCCAACCAGTAGCAGGATGGCTCAGCTTAAAAAAAAAAAATCGCCAGCACATAATTTCGTGAACCATTGTTGGCACTGATGTTCTTGTAGAGCATTGTCACCATAAACTTTATGCAACTTTCCCCAAGCTTCATGCACGTTCTTCCCTTTATGGAAGGAAAACAGCAAAATATGGAGAAAATGCACGGTGTGGTCTTCCATACTTGTTGTAAAACTTCCAAAACTCAACCAAATTGCTCTATTTTGTTTTAGAATGAAGCTAGAAATGTCAGCTGTCAAATGACATAGCAATAAATAGATGCAAATGACTCTAGTACTTCCAAAAATGAACTAGCGCCATCTCTTGCAAACATATGTCATGACTTTTCCAACAACCCAGTACATCACGTTATACTGGCCCTGAGTGACATCTTTGAAGACACTTGGTCCAACTCCCCATCTGAAGAGCAGCAAACTGAGGCTCAAAAAGAGACATGACCGTCTCAGCGTCCCAAGTGGGTGACAGGACTGGAAACAGACCTGGCTCCAGTCACTGAGGACACCCCCTGCTCCTTCCTTTGGAGTTCCTGCTCCCTTCCTATGCCCACCCGCTAGAAGGCAGTGCAGCCACTAGGGGAAGCTCACAGTATATCATCTTTATTTCTCATCCTTCTCTGAACAATTTTGGGAGGCAGGAGGCTTGTCATTTTGGGGACTCTCATCCTGAGGCCCTGGAGAGTCACCTCCAACATGGGGGCCCCTCTCTGCTTCAGGACTGGGTCCAGCTGGAGGAGAGGTACAATGTTTCTTTATTTTTGATCCCAGCCAGGCTCCAAAAGATGTTCCAATCAAGCAGAGGAGAGCGTTGGATGACGCGGAGAGGACAACTGCCCCTGTGGGAGAGAGGGTGAGAGCACACGGGGACAGGACCGACAGCCTCAGTAGCTCTGCACAAGAGTGTGGGTTCAGAGACCCCAGGGGCCCTCAGGAGGCCAGTAGCCCCGACATCCCACTCCTGCTCCCCGCTCCACTTCCTAAAACCGTAGGATCTCTGCTTTGGAAAGGGGCTGCCCAGGGACGAGACAGGGAGTCTGGTGGTGACTCAACCAGTGACAGACATGCAGACCCTGTGAGAAATGGCAGGCTGCCTCACCTTCCACACGATGAGGCTGGGGCCCCGAGTGGGGAGGGGACCTGCCCAGGTTTTATAGGGTTGACTGGGAATGCAGACCTCCTGGGCTCACCTCTGAACCCACCATCCTCACCCCAACCACAAGAGGGGACAGTGAGGGAGACACAAGAGACCAGGGACGCTGAGGACACAGAACTGGAGGGAGAGGACAGGCCCTCCCTCAGGCTTAGCCTCTGGGCTGAATTTGGTCCTGGCCCTGGTCCTCCTCCTGTCCAGGACACTTACCCACAGACTTCAGAGTAGCCCCCAGGCTGCCGGCGGCAACCCCACCCCCGTTGGCGAGGGAAGCGGCTGATATCATGCTGACCACTTTGGAGGCTGCTTTTGCTGCCCTAGGGAAGCCCATGGTGTCCAGCACCGGCACAGAGCCCGCAAGCATGGCTGTCAGGGGAGAGGTTTTGGGTCAAGGGGACAGCTCAGGGCAATGCCCCCCCCCCATACACACACACACACTCACAGTTGGTCAAGCTTGGGGGACTTCAAGGGGGTTGAAGGGGGTGAACTTTGAACCTGAGAGACTGCTCGCATGACTAGCAGTCACAGGACAAGGGGAGCACAACTACGTGGGGAAAGCAGAGGGAAGCTGTGGGTCGCTGGGGACAGGGCTCTGTCTGCAGCAGGACCTTCCTTGGGAAAGTCCTACGTCCTCTGGGTCTTTTTCTGCATTAGTTTTCTGCAAGATGCTGGAACTAGGGTGTGGCTTGTAGACTTCTGATCTTTGCTGAGGAGATCTTCAATGCTCTCAATCTTACTCACCCAGCGGACTGGCATCAAGCAAGGAGCACATTCTGAGTTCTGTTTGAATCCCATCTCTGAGGCTCCATGGCATCACCACAGAGCCATCGGAAGCCCCTAAACCCAGGGTCACTGAGCTGATGGCATCTCTTTAATACCCCTCTTATGCTCCAACTGTGCAGTCCCATCCTGTGTAACCCTCATAACTCTTAATGGGCAACATTGGTCCATTTTTCAGGGGAGGAAAGAAAAGTGCAGAGTTCAAAGACATGTTGAAGGTCACACAGCCAAGGCTCTGCAAAGAGGAGATTAGACCCTGCCAGGGCTGCCTGCACACCAGAGTTTTCATGACACTCCTTGTTTCAAGCCCCCCCTTTCTTATTTCCAGCTCCTTGTTTCCTGCTCACCTCCACCATTTCATTTCCTTCCCAACCATCTACGCAAGGCCTGGGGCAAACCTGGGCATGTACAAGGCCACTTGCCCCCAAGTCCCAGGGCCCAGGGGCAGATGTGACTCGAGTCCCTTCCCTAAACAGACTCACCTCCTCCGATCACAACTGCAGCAGTCTTGGCTGGAAACCAAAAGAACATGGTGTGAGTGGATCCACACTGGCCTCCCCTTCACTCCCTGGGCCAACGGCCCACCTCTGGGGAAGGGGCTGCCCCAAGGTTGGAAACACAGGAAGGAGTGGTGCGGGAGTCCTGCTCCCGCGAGGTCAGGGGTTCCGTCAGCTGAGGACAGAGTCGGCGAGGAGCAGAGACACAGGAGTGTGTTGAAGAAGTGGCACACTTTATTTTAACAGCATGTCCCTTTTTATATTGGACTGTTGACCATTATCTCATAGCAAAAATAGTTTCGATGTTTTTATCCCCAGGGTTCTACTTCCTTATAGGTTATCTTTCTTAGAGTTTCACTTTCTAGTAATTCTTATGCTTCACTTTCTCGTAATTCTTATGCTTCACTTTCTCGTAATTCTTATGTTTCACTTTCTCGTAATTCTTATGTTTCACTTTCTCGTAATTCTTATGCTTCCGGGTACAGCTTCACCTGACTATATTATAGTCTATGCTAAAGATTAATTTATCTTAACTGTGTTCTAATCTTTTTACCTATAATGACTATGTGAATAAGGCTAATCTTTTTACCTATGGTGACTATATCTACTCAACAATGATCCTAAACACTATTAGCTAAGCAGGATCTTAAGATTACAGGTGTATACATTGTCCATTACTAAGAGAATAGCAGTGTGACTAAAATTGCCTTTAGTGTATAGGGTAAAATCTTTGCAATACATTTAAAATCTACTTATTTGTGATTATAATAATTAATATTTGAAGGGGTGTCAGATCTTTATCCTTATTTGGGGTACATCTAGGGGTGACTAGATTTTCCACAATAGAAGGCAGTATCTGTTTCTCAGTAAGAGCTTCAGAATTTACCACAACAATAATGTGTTTTGCAAGGAATCCAATTTATAATTTGTATCTCCCGAGGCAAGAGATATTATAAGACCAACCATAAGGCAGTGCCCCAGACGTCCAGCACCGTGCATGGATCTCTATCTCCATGCGACCTTGTCAAACACCGAGGCGCAGGCAGCTCCCAATAGAATGGCCCCTGCCTGACATGCCCTAGGCCCCACCCCGTGGCTTCACTCTGAGAAGTGGGATTTTCTGACAAGGCAGACCCCATGGCCCTGAGCTTGGCAAGGATTGCTGCAGAGGCAAATGACCTGTCCTGGGTGGATGTGCATGCCTTGGCCTAAAGTTATTTGGAGATGGGGTTTGAGGTCCTTCTTCGTCCAAGTTCAGTCATCATATACAGGTTTTTGTTCTGTCTGCTAATTGGTTGGTTGGTTTGGGGGTTCTGAAGAGATCAGAAGCCATCTTTTTTTCTCTCTGTTCCAACCAGGTTGGTTAAACTAAAAACAACTAAAACCCTACAGATGGGGGAGGAAGGCAAGCCCCTGCAGCACCCCTTCTCAGGGAGTGGGAGCCCTTGGTGCGGGAAGTCAGGGCATAGTGGCTGATTGGGGCAGAGAGAGGTGAAGGGGATGGGGTCATGCTCTCTGAGCCAGGATGGTAGCTAATCTGAAAATAGGGTCAATGTTTGCTTAGTGCGGGATTATATGACTTTCTCCTAAGTACAGAAAAAGCTCTTCAGAAGGCAAAAATCCTCATGTAGACAGAATGTGCTTCATTTGCATGAGGTGGCTAAAGTCAGGCAAGGACTGTTGAATGCTTGAAGGGGTGCGTGTGGCCCAAGGCCAGTTACCTCCAACTGGGGAAACAGCCGAGGTCACAGCAGGGGATTCCAGTATGGAAGAGACATCCACGTGGATCTCAAGGTAGATGCCACTGAGCCCAGGGCAGCACTGGATGGCAGGGTGAGTCCTGAGCAAGAACACAGGTTGAGCAGAGGTCAGAAGTCCAGCAGTGATCAGGGGCCCCGTTCCCTTGCCCCATTCCACACTATGCTCTCTGTGCTGGTGGACAGAGGCGGACCCCTTTGTGTCCACCCAGGGAAGAGAAGGGTTAGTGTTGGTGTCTGCACATACAATTACTTTGCAGCAAGTGAAAGCAAGGATTAGATGCTCCCCTAGCAACACTGATGAATCTCAAAAACTAGAGCTGTTTGTGCGGAAAGAAAAGCAACAGAAGGAGATATGCAACACACTCCTCTGTATGTAAATCAAAACACAAGCAAACACAAAACACCCATATTGCAAAAATATATATGAAAAACAGATGCCCACTAAACATATTAGAAAGGCCGACTGAGGAAAGGGGAATGGGAGCAAGAGGGAAGCTAATAAACAAATAAAACTGGAGAGAGGGCTTACAGGAACCAACAGAGAGAATAGACCCAAACTGAAGATTTTTGTTCAAATCAATGCTCTGGATCTGAGATCCAACATTACAAACTGCACCGCAAGTCTGGTTGTGTTACTGGGAGCGAGGATTTTCATCCGTTCTTATCTTCTTGAAAGAAAGAATTGGGTCAAGAGACAGGAGTCAAGAGAGCCACAGACAGCAAAGTTTATTTGCAAAGCAAGTTTCCTCCAAGGCTCCTCTGAGCGTGGAGCAGGCTGACCCCAGGGTGGGGAGCAGTCCAACGTCTCTGGGACCCTGGCCTTCTGTGCCGTATTGGGCTATCCTCCGCCTCCCCCTTTCCTGTGTCTCGCGTCCTTCTGCACCTCTGCTCAGCCTCCTGTGTTTGCACGAGCCCCAGGCTCTGTTCTGGCTCCTCAATTCAGTGGGTTTGAAACAGGATTCTGGTGAGGCCACTGGGTTACCTGTGGGGATCTTATTCCTCCTCCTGCTGTTATCTACCTTCCTACCTACACCATCAGTTGGATGCACAGGCAAAAACATAAAGGAGGTGAATTCTGGTGGTGAAACAGGGGAAATGAGAGCCAGAGAGCAGGACCCAGCCTCAGGGCCCCTCAGTCTGGGTGACAGGAGACCCGGGCCCAGAGGGGAGCGGGCCCAGGCCCCCTGAGCCAGGTCCTGCCTCCCTCTGGCCCTTGTCATGGAAGGGTGACACTGTATTTTCTATATTGAGATAGAAACCTCTAGTGTAATTAAATTTAACTGTGTCATTTAACTTGAGACGTTTTGAAAGTTTCTTTCCTTTATGTCCCTTTCGTCCTATCAAACCTTAATGACTCTATTTAGTCTATATTTACTGTGCATGTCAGCTTCAGCATGGTTACTCCAGACCAGCTTCAATGGCTCTGTTTACTCCGGGCCATGCCCACCCCGCCCCCACCCCACTTTCTCATTTCTTCTGCATTTTCTTATGTGCCTATGAAACCTCTTCATCATGTTGGGAGTCCCCCATTCTCCCAGAATGCTGGCTTTTTTAATAAACCTGCTTTTCTTTCCACCAACCTCTTCTCACACGTTTTGGCTTCCGCGGACCTTGAACAAGGTAACACTCAGAGAGAGAGTCAGGATAGACACTCGGGGGAGGACAGGGCAGCGACAGTGGCTGCAGGTGATGTCACCCCTCCTCCCCACAGGACCCTGAGAAGGACCCTGTGCCCTACCTCCTCAGCCACCATCTCATCCCCCACCAGCCCTCCCAGGAACACTCACCCACAGACGACAGTCCGGCCAGCACACTGCCGGACGCTGCCCCGCCAATTTTGGCCAGGCTCACTGATGAAACTATTGGGGCGATGTTAGAGGCTAAGAAGGCTTCCATGGTGCACAGAAACGCCCAACAGAGACAAATCTGCAGGAAGGGTAGAGCTTTGTTGAGTGTGGGGGCACCAGAACTGTGGGTTCCTATACTGCCTTTGTTGAGGACTCAGGCCCTAGACTGGGGCACCCTTCCCCCCCCCACCCACCACCCCCAAAGGAATTTAAAAAGCTCCTGCTTCAGCAAAAGTTAAACAAAGCTTCTTGACAAGAGACTGGAAAAAGATAAGTTAGGTAGCTTGTTAGGAAAGAATAAACAAGACATGTTTTATAGCCCGTCAAGAAGATAAGCANGGGGAGGAGGGAATGGGGAGTTAGCGTTCAATGTGTAGAGTTTCAGTTTTGTGAGATGAAGAGTTCTGGGGGTTGGTCACACAATAAGGCAAATATACCTAACGCTAAAAAACTGTATACTTACAAATGGTTAAGTTGGCAAATTTTATGTTATGTGTATTTTGCCACAATTAAAAAAAAAATAGAGTACACCTTTTGCTGCCCTGTTCCTGGGCTGGCCCCACCTTACAGCTGAGACAGCTCTGTGAGGGTGTGTCCTCAGAGAAAATGAGCAACCAGGCTCAGGGCATCAAGGAGGAGCACACTGGAGAAATGAAACTCACTCAGGCCTTGGGCGGGTGCTGTGGGTCAACAGGTCAGGGCAGTGGCAGGGGACTTTAACTGGCAAAGAGCCGGGCCTGTGCCTGTTGGCTAACCAGGAGCCTAAGGCCAGTGTGAATGGTCTCTATACTACCTAATCGATATGCCCTGGCACTGGCAGACCCTGGAGAGTGACATACCCCTATCCCTGCTCTTCGAAACAAAGCGATCAAGGCCCAGAGAGGGCTTGTGACTGGTTCTGGGTTACTCAGCAAGTCAGCAGCAGAGCCAGGACCTAAAGTGCAGTCGCTCTGACTCTAAAGCATCATTTATTTCATGTCCCGTGTGCACTGTGTCCCTCTTCTGACAATGCGGGTGTAGTGGAGGTTCCATCAGGGACGTGTACGTTAATGCTGACAACTTAGAAGGCTGAGCTGAGCGGTGAGGGTGAGGTGGGTCTGGCGGACTGGTGTCCAGGGACCAGTTACCTGCAATGCGGGCCACACTGTTGCCTCCATCTTTGGGTGGGTCTGGGGAGTCAGAGCTATGTGCATCTGGCCCCGGAGGGGGCTCCTGTGGTGGCCCCCCAGGAGTAGAACCAGCAGAGGATGACTGGGAGGATTCATCTTCTTCTGGAAAAGAAGCAGGGACGGGCACAGAAGGGGGCGGGCAGCTGTGGGACCAGAGGCCGAGTGAGGCCTAGGGCCTCAAGGGGGGCATGAGGCCCAGAGGCCCAGTACAGCCCCCTCTGCCATTTCCTGAAGCTGCCAAGGGTTCTGATGTGGGAATGGGGCATCAGTGACAGCAGTGCTGAGGTAATGGGACCATTTGGAGATGAACCCAAGGACAATGCAGAGAGAGAGACCCGATCACCGACTGAGAGCTGGCAGGTCCCTGGCTTCGCAGATGCGCAGTCTGAGGCCCAAGATGGAAGAGACTTGCTCAGACACAATGGGCCTCAGTGGGAGCTCCAGGTCAGAACCCAGACCTCTTCTGCCCTGGGCCATAGACCCACCCCAAGCCCTGGCCCACCTCTCCTTCCAGAGCCTCCCTGAGGGCACTCACCATCTGACTGAAGCTCCTGCAGGAGGGCATCAGCAGCAATTCCTTCTCCGTTCTCTATGGCTTTACTTGCCATCTCAGAGCAGCGTGAGAACACTAGGTGCACAGCCTACAGTCACCACTCTCTCTCCCAGAAAGAGTGTGTAAAAACCAGAAGTGTGTGCTTGATTTGTGATGCACTGTGGTGTGGATGGGGGCACCTCTCTGTTGCCCTGAGCCCTGCCCCTCTGTCCTAAAGCAATCTATGGGCCACTTCTAGCACACCCCCCCAAATCTGCACAGATTGTAGCGTTTTCGGTTAAGGACTTTGCTTGGCTCCCTGATCTCCAGGGATCTATTTATCTCTAATATTCCATCTCTGTTCCCTGACCATCACCCCCTACCCAGCCTAAGTCTTATGGCTTGAGTGTAACCTGGATTGGGACAAGCCCGATTGTTCCCAAAGTCTCAGGGTAAATATGGGCTCAAACCCCTTCCCAGCACACTCGTCTCTGATAAGTGACAGTAGCTCTGAATGGCAGCAAAGAGGGAGGCTGGTGCTCCCTCCCTTCCCTACTTCCCAGGCCCCTACTTACCTTGAGGTAATTGTTGTGTTGGAAATCCTGTGTGTAGTATGGCTACTGAGGACTCCAGCAGGCTATATAAGTTCTTCCCTGGATGAAGTCCAACACCACGNCTCAATTTTGTTTTAGAATGAAACTAGAAATGTCAGCTGTCAAATGACATAGCAATAACATAGATGCGAATGACTCTAGTACTTCCAAAAATGAACTAGCGCCATCTGTTGCAAACATGCGTCATGACTTTTCCAACAACCCAGTACATCACGTTACTCTGGCCCTGACTCAGATCTTTGAAGACACTTGGTCCAACTCCCCATCTGAAGAGCAGCAAACTGAGGCTCAAAAAGAGACATGACCTTCTCAGGGTCCCGAGTGGGTGACAGGACTGGGAACAGACCTTGCTCCAGTCACGGAGGACACCCCCTGCTCCTTCCTTTGGAGTTCCTGCTCCCCCCCCCTGCCCACCCGCTAGAACGCAGTGCAGCCACTAGGGGAAGCTCACAGTATATCATCTTTATTTCTCATCCTTCTCTGAACAATTTTGGGAGGCAGGAGGCTTGTCATTTTGGGGACTCTCATCCTGAGGCCCTGGAGAGTCACCTCCAACATGGGGGCCCCTCTCTGCTTCAGGACTGGGTCCAGGTGGAGGAGACGAAGGGGGTTTCTTTATTTTTGATCCCAGCCAGGCTCCAAAAGATGTTCCACACAAGCCGAGGAGGGCGTTGGATGACGCGGAGAGGCCCGCTGCCCCTGAGGGAGAGAGGGTGAGAGCACAAGGGGACAGGGACCGAGCCTCAGTAGATCCCCACAAGGGTGTGGGTTCAGAGACCCCAGGGGCCCTCAGGAGGCCAGCAGCCCCGACATCCCACTCCTGCTCCCCGCTCCACTTCCTAAAACCGTAGGATCTCTGCTTTGGGAAGGGGCTGCCCAGGGACGAGACAGGGAGTCTGGTGGTGACTCCACCAGTGACAGACATGCAGACCCTGTGAGAAATGGCAGGCTGCCTCACCTTCCACACGATGAGGCTGGGGCCCCGAGCGGGGAGGGGACCTGCCCAGGTTTTATAGGGGTGACTGGGAATGCAGACCTCCTGGGCTCACCTCTAGACCCACCATCCTCACCCCCAACCACAAGAGGGGACAGTGAGGGAGACACAAGGGACCAGGGCCGCTGAGGACACAGAACTGGAGGGGGAGGACAGGCCCTCCCTGAGGCTTAGCCTCTGGGCTGAATTTGGTCCTGGCCCTGGTCCTCCTCCTGTCCAGGACACTTACCCACAGACTGCAGAGTAGCCACCAGGCTGCCGGCGGCAACCCCACCCCCGTTGGCGACGGCAGCCGCTGACATCATCTTGGCCGCTATGGAGGAGGCTGCGATTCCTGCTCCAGTGAAGCCCATGGCGCCCAGCACCACCGGCGCAGAGCCCACAGCCACGACTGTCAGGGGAAAAGGAGCTTGAGGTTGGCCCCATGGGAGGGACTCCCCGAGATCTCCCTGACATCATCCTGGGGGAGGAACTGGGGGGTCTGCTTTGCTCTTGTGAGAGTCACAGGGCAGGGACAGGGGTCTGACGTAAAGGAAGGCTGTAACTGTGGACACAAATGAGTGTGGCCAGGCTACCAGAACTGGATCTCAGGCCCATCCGGGCCTGTTTGCTGTGACACCTGGGAAGCTCACGGTCCTCCCTGTGCCTCAGTTGCCCTTTTGTAAAATAAATTAAGTTGAAATGAGCAGTTGTCTTTAAACTTCCCCTTTGGGCAGGGAAAATAGTCTCTCCCCCAAGCACGGGGTCGACAGAAGATAACATCAGAGCTGCTCTTTCGAAGAGGTGACGGGGTGGGGGTTTCTGCCCTCTGTCCCGCAGGGCCCTGCAACGACATTTATGGGGGTCTCCCAGGGCTCCCTTACATCTCCAGAGCAGCGTAGTCATAGAACATTCTTCAACAACAGAAACGTTCTGTGTCTGCACTGTCCAGTGCTGTATCCACATGTGACTATTGATCATTAGACAGAAATGATTTTATTTTCTTTAATTCTAGCACCGTATTGGAGGACGCTGCTCTAAAGCACAGCTGGAAACCTCTGGGCTCAAAGGATGAGCAAGCAGGGTTTGTAAAGCAGTTCCAGGGAAGCAGGCCCAGCTCAGCTTACATACTCCCGGAGGACATCCCCAGCCCTGCCCTGCTTTCTAGGGAAGGGATCACAGGCTCCGACAGACCAAATGGCTCACCCAGGGTTGCACAGTTTGCACTTGGGAGAAGCTGAGATTGGACCCAGGGTGCTGTTAAGGGCTTTGCTTTGGCCTCTGCACCCTAAGGTTCAACTCAAGTACCCCCACCCACCCACGTCTTGGGGCTCGAGGGAATCCTGGGTCTGGTCAAGGCCAGTTGCTCTTAGAGGCCCGAGCAGATGGGAGCTTGGGCTCCTTCCCAGAGAGACTCACCTCCCCCGGTCACGCCTAGAGCAACCATGCCTGGAGACAAAAAGAACATCTGTGAGTGCACTGCACTGGCCTCCCTGCGTTCCCCGCTGCCACCCACAGTGTGAAGGGTGCTCTGGAGCTGGGATCAGAGGAGAGAGTGGCCCCTGCCTGCTTTTCCAGACAAATCGGATTTACTGAGCATGCAGAGGTGGATGGAGAATGTCCAGAGCTCTGTGACACTCCAGATGGGGAAGGGCTCTGCCTTGAAAAGGCTCCACGCTGCTCTTTGAAGCCAACACATTTGATTTTCATTTTCTCAAAAAAAAAAAAAATCAAAAAAGCAAGAAAAAGCATGCTGCTTTTATTTGCAATGGAATAGGTCAAACTGTCTATTCTCTCCCTCTTCCAGGCAGCATAGGTTAAAGTGAAAGCCCGCCACCCTCCAGGGCTCACCCTTCCTTCTGCAGGAAGCACCCCCAATTCCACCATCTGAGGTCATCTTGCCTCCTGTGCGTGCCCTGCCTGGAGCGGCTTGCAGCACAGGGCGGAGCACACCAGAACCCTATGGTATTGCTCAGAGTTCCCAGGGCTGGCAGGGACATCTAACAGGGGCAGGGAGGGACAGTGGTGTTTGGGCAACTGAGACCAGGCGTTCTGGAGATCTCAGGACCTGCAGGAGTGAGCTCAGCCAGCTCCCCACAAAACAGAGTGTGGGTCCCAGGCAAGGGAGGGAAGGTGGGGACTCAGCCTCCGGCCTCCAGAGCACGCCCAGTCACTTCTGGAAGATTGCAGCTCCTGGCTCATGGTCACCTCTCTATTACTACCACCCCGGATGGCACAGAGAACGCGCTCATCATTGCACAACGCTCTCATGGGCAGAAATGCCCTAGACTTATTGACAAAAACTGCCCCCTCCCTATTATCACCATCCAGCCCGCCCTTAAAGACCCCCACCTCCTCCCTTTACAGATTCAGACTCTCATGCAGCCTTGAACACCTCTTTAGTCACAATGGCATTTTCAATATCTGTGTTAGTTTTCTGTGGCTGCTGAAACCAGTGACCACCAGCTGGGTGTATTTTCTCTCATATTCTAGTTCTGGAGGTTAGAAGTCCAAGGTGTCGGCAAGGCTGAGCTCTCTCTGAAGGCTGTAGGGGAGGTTCCTTCTTTGCCTCTTCCTAGCTTCTGGGGGCTGCGTCACCCTATTCTCTGTCTCCGTCTCCACGTGGCCCTCTCCCTGTGTGTCTTCTCTTCTTCTAAGGGCACCAGTCATATTAGATTAAGGGCCCATCCTACTCCAATATGACCTCATCTCAATTTACATCTTAATTACATCTACAGTCACATGCCCAAGTACTGGGGGTTAGGATTGGCATGTATCTCTTTGGAGGGACACAGGACAACCCACAACACTGTCCCTCATTCATCCCATGTCCTCCCTGCCCATGTAGATTCCATATCCGCTCATCACAAGTGCACCTTGCAGACCCTTCAACGCTCTCCCTTCCTCTTCCTCTCTTGTGCTCAACCCCTCTCTTTACTCCCCAACTCTCTGAGTACCCAGAATTCCCAACTTGTCCCAGATTTTCATACCTACTGCACCTCCACCCTCTTGCTTCACCAACTTCCAATTTCACTAAAAAAAATGAAGGCAACCAGAAGAGAGCTGGCCTGCGGTCCCTCCCACCACCAAGTCTGCCACCCCTCCACCCCCGCTCCCTCACTCCCTGTCCTGCTTCTGTGCTGAATAGAACACAAGCCCCTGGCCACCTGTGCACTGGGCCTACCTGCTCTCTCCGTCTCAAGGACGTGCTCCTGCAGGGTTCCTCCCTCGCTTCTGCACCATCACCGTCTCCCTCTGTCCTAAACCAACAGTCTCCAACCAGACTCCTCCACCCCATACCTGGAGAGCAAAGGCGGCCCCTCCCTCTGTACCGTATCTTCCTCCAGGTGCCATCTCACTTTGATCCATTCCTTATGGCAAAGCTCCTTGTAATAATTTTCCACATTGAGGGAAAGGCAGTATGGCACTGCGGTCAGGCACCAGGCGTGCAAGGGAGAAGACCATGTGAAAACGGAGACAGGCTGGAGTGATGCAGCCACAAACCAAGGAACGTCGAGGATTTCTGGCAGCCACCAGAAGCTGGAAGAGGCATGGGATAGGTTCTCTCCTAGAGCCTTCAGAAGAAACATGGCCCTGTGGACACCTTGATTTTGGATTTCCAGACTCCAGAACTGTGGGAGAATGAATTTCCATTGTTTTTGAGCCACCCAGTGTGTTTACAGCTGGCTCCTGCAACACTGTCCTCCCCTGGCCTTCAGGAAATCATCCTTTCTCACTTCCTTTCCTGCCACACTTGTCTCTCCTCCTCGTTCTCGTTTCATCTCCTCTCTCTGATCTCTGATAAACATGGGCACGTCCAGGGCTCAGCCCTCAGACCCCTTCTCTGCTTTAGGTCTATTCCTTGAGTAGCTTTACCCAACCCCATGGCTTTCAGGACCACCTGTATTCTGAGGACTTGCAAATTGATATGTCCAGCCCAGACCTACTCAGCATGTCCACTTGGGTGTCTGAGAAGAAACATAACATGTCAAAACATAACACGTCGAAAGCCGGACTGTTGTTTCCCCTCCCAAAGCTGTTCCTCCAACGGCCATCCAGTCTCAGTGAAAGGCAGCCCCATTCTTTCAGCAGCTCAGGACACCTCTCTCCACACCAATCCATCAGCAAATCCTACTGTTTCACCTTCAAAAATATCCACGGTCTGACCATTCTTTCTACCTCTGCCTCTCCCATTATGGGTCAGGCCACCCACATCTCTCCCCAGGATTGTTGCGACAATCCCCTGCCTCTTCTCCAGCTCCTGGGTTTCCCTTCAGCCCGGAGCTGTTCTCTCAGCAGCCAAAACCTCAGAGTCATCCTCGACTCCTCTCTTTTTCTCTCACTCCACATCCAGTCTGTTAGCAATTCCTGCCGATTTCACCTTTCATACATGTCTAGGATTTGATCACTCCTAATACCTCCACCACTGCTACCCTAGTCACATCACCTCTCGCTGCCTGTGATCAGGGACATGGACACCACACAGAATGAGACATATCTGTTGGCTGCTGGGGTACAGGGAGCAGCTATGGTGTTGAAATCCCTCCACGCTCTCTGTGGCCCATTCAAGTCCACCTCTTTAACGAGGATGAGGGGTCTGGCTTCTGCTTTTCTCCTCAAGCTCACTGCTGTGCTTCTGTCCTGGGGAAAGAGTAGAAACAATTCCCTGGCCCTTGGTGTGGCAAACCCAGACAGATTTTCAGGACTCTGCCACCTGACACGTCCTCCAGGAACCTGCCCTGAGCAGGAATTCCCAGTTTACCTCGGCCACCTCCAACTACAGACGCCAAAAGTGAGTCTACTACACTCCTTTTCTGCCATAGAATCTCCCACAAGGCAAAGTCGTTCTCCATCTCCTCTGCTGGATTTTGAGCTAAGGTCAAGGGCCAAGCCTTAGTCACTGCTTCCTGCCCCACTGCCAGGCACAGGCCTACGAGCAAGAAGGCGCTGAGTATTTCAGGAAAAGAGGTATAGATCGAGAGTGCACCTTTGTGCACGAAAGGACCTGCTGTGGTCTACAATTTTGTTCTCAAAATGCATATGTTGAAACCCAATGCCCGATATGATGGTGTTAGGAAGTGGGGCCTTTGGGAGGTGATCAGCTCATAAGGACAGAGCCTTCATGATTGGGGTTAGTTCACTTATAAAAGAGACCCCAGAGAGCCGCCTTGTTCCTTCCACCACGTGAGGCTCCAGAGAAAAGGTGGCTATTAGAAAGCAGGCTCTCACCAGACACTAACCTGCCAGTGCCTTGATCTTAGACTTCCCAACCTCCAGAGTTGCAGAACTGAAATTTCTGTTGTTTATAAGCCACCAGTCTATGGCATTTTGTTATGGCAGCCCAAGCTGACTAGGAGAGGGCAGAGTGGAAAGGCAATCTACAGAATGGGAGGAAATATTTGCAAACCATATATCTGATAAGGGGTTAATAATCAGAATATG